GTGGCTGACCAGCAGTTCGACTCATATGAAGACATCAAAAAATGGCTTGATTCGTGGATAGTCTCAAAAGATGAACAGTTTTACCGTAATGGTATTCGAGCTCTGCCAGAAAGATGGGAAAAAGTAGTAGCTAGCGATGGGCAATACTTTCAATGATTCATTTGTAACCATTTTTTCACAATCAAGTTGCATTTTCATCAAAATAACAGCGAGAACTTAGTTGCGCACCTAATATAAAAAACAGAATATGCTTTCCTGGCATAAGTGCTCATTTGAGAACTGCTACTGACTTTCAAAACAATGATAATATTCTGCAATTTATTCCATATCTGGATTTGGTTTCTGATGTTGTTTTAGATTATATGCATGTTATTTGTTTAGGAGTTACTAAAAAATTACTTAATTTATGGACGACTGGAAATAATTATTATAAACTTGGTCAGGCAAGTAAACAAAAAATCTCGGACAAATTGGAAAATTTGATAAATATATTATATATATATAGGTTTAGAATTTCCTCGTAAACCAAGATCATTACAAGACTTAAAATATTACAAGGCAACCGAATTCAGACAATTGCTTCTATATACAGGGCCCATAACTTTTCAAGGACTTCTACATAGATAATGACATATATTTAAATTTTTTAATTTTACATGTATCTATACGAATTTTGTGTATGGAAGATACCAGCGAAGAAATGATTAATTATGCTGATAAATTATTGCAAAATTTCAATGAAACATTTACTATATTATACGGTGAAGAAAATGTATCTTTTAACGTTCATGCTTTTCTGCATTTAGTAAATGACGTACTCAAACATGGGCCACTTGATTCTTTCTCAGTTTTTCGTTTTGAAAATTTTCTTCAAAAAATTAAAAATCTTATACGTAGACCTCAAGACACATTATCCCAATTACATCGTCGATATACAGAAATTGGATAGATGTTAGTAAACAATCTGTAAAAAAAAATGAAATCGCCGTTTTAAAAGAATCTCTTCATGAAGACGGTCCTCTTTTGCCCAATTGTACTGACCCACAATATAGCAAAATCTTAGGATTTGGCTTTACTTTAATAGCCGGAGACAAAAGAGATAATTGTTTTTTGAGCTACGAAATATAATTTTACTTAAAAATGTAGCCTTTGATAGAACAACTTATTCTGTAGTCCTAATAGGACAATACTTCACTGTTGAAGATTTTTACATTCTTCCTTGCAAATCGCAACTTGTCGGCATTTATCTCGCATCTAAACTTTCTGATCTAAGGCAATGGCCATTCAATGGAACTATTAAAAAGAAATGTCTAAGAATACCGTGGAAAAAAAATAAAAATGTTATCATATCTTTATTATACTCTCACGAATAAAAAAGTTCTCTTTACACATAACAATTCATGTACAACAATATACAAAACAATAATATATACATATATATTGAAAATACTGAAGTTTTAGGGTATGTTATATTATATATACATATATATCGTGTTTTCTTTTTTCAATATTCATTAAACAATTTTTGAAATGTTTTATAGTATATATTCATTTTTCAGTTTATTATAATGATGGCAGAATTAGTGACAATAGATGAAGGGTTGTATTATGTGATCAAATTCTTTGATGGAATCCAGATCATTTCGGATAACTGGGTTATTCAAGATGAAACCTTAGTATATTGGCCCAAAGTAAAGTTAGATAAAGAATATGATGTTATCGTCTATACAAGGAGTCCTGTGAAAAATGATTGGTCATTAGAACCAATAAAAACAATTTTATATAGAACAGGTTTAATTTACTGATTTATTATTTCGTACTTTTAATCTTTTTACTTCATTCAAATCTTTTATTTCTATACCTTCATTCATTTCGTTATCTCCGTTTTTATTTTTGTGCATACAAATAAAAATTACTAAAATGCATTTCTTTTAATTTCTAGATTCATTTTCTGATGCCAAACTGAAATTAAAGAAAGCTGAATATCTAACTGACGTTGACTCACCGTATAACACAGACGAAAGAAAGAAACAAAGAAGAGAAAATGCTAAAATACATTTCAGCGATAACAATGAGAAAGAGGAATAGATTCGTGAAAAACATAAAAAGATTAAACCAAAGAAAACGAATTTACCGTCACTTCCTGAACCTCCAGTTACTGTCACGTATAGTACAGCTAATATATCGAACAAGTGTTCAATTACTGCTATGCATAGTGATGTTAATATATCGACTCTTCAGTTATGGGCACAAAATCGTTATCTGGAAATCAACAAAAACAAGATTTTATACTGTCTTCTGCTAATGAAATTAGTAAAAAAAAATATTTTTTTTTTTTTGGTATTATCAATTATTCGTATGAACAAAATTTCTCATTAATTTTTATTATTTTAGCAATTAATAATGATATTTGTCAAATTTTAAAAGGAGTAGAAAGCTTAAAGACATCAATAAACGGTATCACTTACTTAATTCGAGAAGTTATTCAGAGACTAGATGTTTTGGAAAAAAAAAGTGAATCTCTCTCTCTCTCTCTCTCTCTCTTTAAAAGTTCAATCTACTGTAGAGGAATACAATAGCCTTGTTAGTATTTTTCCAATTCAGACTATAGCTAGCCTTAAAGAGGTGGAAACTAAAATTAAAAATAATTCTATCTTTAAAACAAAATTGGTAAATTTTATATTATTTTATTTACTGAATGCGCATTTAAAAAAATACATTATGCTGTATTTGTTTGCTCGTATTTATTTTGTAGATAGAAAGTCTTACGCAAGTTAGCAGTGCGGATGTTAAAAAAACAATTCGAAACACTTTAAATTATCTTATATCCGATGAAATGGCTCAATAGTACAGTTGATTAGGTCAAAGACATAAAGCTGCATTTCAAAATTTGCAAATAACGAAAATTATAATAAGTAAATATATCTCTTATACAAGGTGTCCGATAATGACCATATAATCTCTGGTGGACAAGTAGAGTAGACTAAAAAGTAGACTGAGTCGAAAAGTTATGTACTATTTTGCAGTTTTCGCAATAGATAATGAGATATTAATAGTAATTGAAATATTACGAATATGCGTGTATCCGCCCGGCCGAAAGTTGTAAAATGGTACATAACTTTTTGATTCAATCTACTTTAGTCTATTAATTGACAAGCAATTTAATACCTCATATTATTATAGTAGTTCAGTTTATTGTAGTAGCTCAATTGCGTTTCTAAGGCTAAGTTGTGTCTGTGTGTATGTGTGTGTATGTGTGTGTGTGTATGTGTTTTCCACCTTTTGATAAATTTCACTCTCTTACTCTCTTTGCTCTTATTCCTTTACTCTTTTGTTTATCTATTAGATAAATTATGATATAGTTTATCCGAAGATGAAACAACATGATTCTAAGTCCGGAAAATCAATTTTGTACGCGATTAAAAAAACAAATAAAGTATATAAATTCACATAGAATTATTAAAAGCACCTAAGATCCTGCTTCGATTGTTATAAGCATTATTTCTTACTTATTGTGTATCCACATTGTACGGTGTTAATAAATCATTTATTATTTAAACAGTAGACTACATACGTAATTATAGAAGTTCACGTGAAATTATACAAGCAACTAAGATCCAGCTCGACCCTTATAGGCACGTATCGTATTGATAGTGTTCATTTATTATTATTAAAAATTTTACAAAATTTGTTGGCGTTTTATTTCATTTTTCGCTGTGGTCTGTGGTGTATGTACAATATACATATAATATACTTTTAATACTATGTTATATTAATTTAAAATTTACTTAATTTATTATTTCGAATTCTGTTTGTCTATACAAAAGAAATAAATGAACTTTACAACTTATACACTTGTATTTGTTGTTACTTTCAATATTAATATTTACTTTAAAATTTTTAGTTGCCGTTAAAATGCGTCATCAAAATACTACGCACGAACAAATATCTTCTATTGCTGCAGAATGGCTTAAACATGCGAAACAAAGAGTACAAAGAAAATCTGAGTAAGTTTAAAAGACAATACAAAAAAGTTTCTTTTGAGATTTTATTCCTCATTTTCTCATTTATTAATTGTGTGTGTTACATTAATAATAAGTGAAATATGATTTTAGTTTACATTTAATTCTTAAGAGCTTTTTAATTCTTAATCATTTTATGTATCGGTTGAGCAATAGTATCGTACTGTGACAATCTTGCGTTTCGCGGGTTTTCTCCGTGTTTAGATCCATTCTTGGAATGCCAACGTTTCGTGAACCTTGCAGTTCACTTCATCAGGGCGAGGAACAGCCTGATACTAAGCTGTTCCCCCGGGTCGTTCCTTTTATATTACGCTGCTTGTGTGGGGGGGGGGGGGGGAGAAGAAAATTGTGAGTCAAGGGGGG